ATATGGGTCCAAGGACAGAGCCTTGGGATACCCCATTGGTCACAGGGCACCATGATGATTGACTTCCATTTATTTGGCAGTTTATCTGGCAAGAGTAAAACCAACTGAAATGTAATGGTTGTAATGGAAAGTGGTATGCCACCTTAACAACATGTGTTTCTATTGCTGTGTGGATAACACACTCAAAAATCACCTAAGTGATAGTGCAAATGATTCACCATTAAATGAACTTATTGGAGGTGCTGAAAAATATTTGTATGGTGAAAAGTGAAGGTTCGTATCAAAACAAGCAGTCAAGGAAGCTGCAAAATAAATCAGGAGACTGAGATTAATACCCTTCAGTTCATCTTATATTTTACAACAAAAACCTATCTTCTACTACATCACAATGTAAATTAGATCACATCAAGCCTCCCTTGCAATTTAATGACATTCAGCAATATTTTCCTGACTTCTGAATGTGACCACAATAAAGTGTTCTGTAGGGTAATATCATAAATTCCAGGTCAGAAGTTCTGTTTTTGACTGCCACTGCCCAATTCACCCATTATTTTAACCGTATTCTTTTTAAAAATTCACCTGCAAACAAGTGAACACCTAGGAATTTAACAATCCACAGATTTTGTAGCAATCTACATTACACCACAAATACCAAGAACTAGAATCTGTTTCATTTTATGGGTCCAGATGGGATTATCCAGCTGCCTAACTCCTCTTCTTGGCACTTGCACACAGTTTGGAATTCTATTCCAGGCACAGTATAGACCTCAAAGCATCTGCACAGCTACTTTGCATGCTCAGTAGGGTACTGTTGGGCCAGGCAGATACTCCACACTATATGCTCACTCGGGTATGCATGTAAGTCTGGAAATAGTAGCTGGCAAAAACTCATCCAAGGGTTAGGTGCCCTTCCATTATTTATCTAAATAAGCTTGTGGTTCATAACTGACAACTCAAATTCTAATGCCCAGCCCCTTGCACAGAGAGGGGTTAAACCTAAATTTCCTACTTCCCAGCACAGTGCTAGACCCCCTCGGTCACAGGTTAGGCATTATCCAGAATACTCTCCAAATCCTCCCCTTTAAGTTGTCCTTCTAGGCAGCCTCATACATGAAATGAGGAAGAAGAGAAAAAGCTACTGTGAGTGTGGCTCTGTGGGATGCTTTTCTCAATGGGAGAGGCTCCAGAGACCTTTGCTCTCAGAAAGTTCTCACTGGTTTCCTGTCTGTTTTGGACAATACATAGTAAATGCAGTAGCTTAGTTTGAAGAAGATCTCTGGAGAGGGGACTGGAAAATGCTCAACCTGTAGCCTGGTGGCAGTAGCAGATTGAGGAATGGAGTAAGGCGGTGTTCAACATGCTTTTTGGCTGTCCCACAGATGCACAATGAGCTCTGAGTTCTTCACCTGATTGTGGCAGGGGAAGAGCCCCTGCTTTCATGCAGCTCTGGAGCCCAGAGGGTTAATGCTGTTGCTCTTTCATCTTTCCCTCCTTCCCCCTCCCTGCTGAATTCAGCAGCAGATTAAGGCTAGGGACAGAAGTTAGACATAAACCATTTTAAGTGATCAGAAACTTGTTTAAACCCATAACCAAACATAAGTTCAGTGCACATAAGCCAGTTTCAAAATGGCTAAAATTGGTTTAAGATAAAGCTGGGTGAATGTAGTGTCAGACTTAACTGATTTGGGTCAAACTGGTTTATGCAGCTCTGTACTAGACTCCTTCCTGGTTTAAGTTAAACCAGAGTCCTCCAGCATCCCCGCATTTTCTGATCCCTAGGCTGGTCTGTGCTGTCTGCTCCAGAGAGCAGGGCTGGCCCTGCCCCTCTGCTTTCATGGCCTAAGCAGGGGTGGAGACATGGCCAGATGTGTCTGGGCATAACCCTGTTAAGCACTTGGACAGGGTGGGGGTTAATTGTTCCCCTTTTCCTCTGAACTACAACCAGGTTCTGCCTGTCTGCAGGCGAGCTGCAGAGGTGGAGGCAGGGGCTGGGGCTGGCAGTGGAGCTGTGTTCCCAAATTTCTCCCAGCTGTTATGGAGCTGCTGCTGTGGGCAGGACTCTCCCCTTCCTCATCTGCCCCTGCCCCGGAGTCTTCCCACACCCCTGTCTGGCCAGGCTCCCTCTTCCCTCACCCTCTGAACCCTACAGGTGAAGGTTGGGGTTTAAACCCCTCCTTAATCTTACTTAGGCCTCCCAGGGCCTGGGAATGCATCTCCACCTCATCTCAGCTTCCCTGTGGAAGAGAAGGGAAGGCTTCTCTAGCATCCCCGGGCTTCTGGCCTGAGCCACTATGGGCATGTGCCTGCATTTCCAGAATGAAATATGGATGTCTGTGCACTTGCAAATCGGGTCAATCTCTGCAGATTAGGCTAACCTGTAAAGATTGAATCAATTCAGGCTCGGGCTTTTTGAATGTATGTGCCTAGCCCATGAGAGGTGATGAGCAGTGGCAGCACTCACCCTCTGGGCTCTGAAAGCCGGGGTTTTGGCCAGACTCCCTGCTGAGAGCTCACATACAATACAGCCATAGTGAGTATGTAGCTGCGCTACCACACCCCCTCTGGATCTGCCCTTGCCCGTTAGTTAGACAGGGATGGCAAGCAAGAGATTCAGCTTTGAAACTTCTCTAGGTGAAGGAAATCTAGAACCTAGATCTCTTGCTCCTTGTGTGAGTGGCACTAGGTGATTCGACTAAATCATGGGAGAGCTTTCTTCTCTGTCTAGTATGCACCATTTGTGGGATTTTTCCCAAGTACAATTTTGGGATGTTAAGTAGGTGTGTATATGGTGTTGCATGCCTACCCATTCAAAGTAGAGACAACTGAGCATGCACTAGCTGAGCAGACTCTTGGACATCTGCACTGCAACACAGTAGGGTCTCAAAGTGAGTATAAGTGTAGCTACAAAGCTTAGTATGTGCCTAAAGTAAAATGGATCTAGCCTTATATCTTAGCCCTCTCCATGTGTAGGTAAAGGCATGATGAGATCTACTGTGTAATCCACACAATCATGCCTCCTGGCTTGTCACACATGCACAACAGGAGGCATCATTGTGGGATTGTGCGTTAGATCTTATTGTGTCTTATTGCCAGTGCAGGGGGAGCCTGATCCCAGCAAGATCAAGCTGCTCCCTACCAGCAAGAAACAAGTTCCCACAGCTGGGACCCCATCTCAGCTGAGGGGCTCCCAGCCACAGGGCTTCATTGGGCACACCTGTGGCTGGAAGCTCGTCGGTTGCCATGGCCTCCCACAACTGAGCCCTGGGAGTGTGAGAAACCCCTGGGGCTCAGACATCAGAGCAGCTGCATTTCACAGCACTGGGGGGTCCACGGACCCCCAGAGCTGGTAGATGGCAGCCGTGCCTCACAGCAGCCAGGACTCAGCTGGATCCAAGCACAGGGAGGCATGCGGTGGGACCCAGCATCTGCAGCTACAAGACTCTGGGTCCTGGAAACTGCAGGGTGCTTCAGGGAGCTAGAATAAGAAGCTGCTGGAGCTAAGAGTCCCCTCAGTTGCAAGACTCCCAGCCCTGGCTGGACAAGGTGCACCCCTGCACCTGGGAGCCTGGTCCGCTGACAGGGTTCCCAGATGCAGGAGAGAGCCTGAAACATGTACAAATCAAAGCATGTACAATTATAGCAGCCAACTATAACATTAGTACACATTTTTGAGGTCTAACTTTATAGCTGGTTGGAGCTTTTTATGGTTGCCCATGTAGCTGGTCTCCAGGTAATTGCATAGTTAACCAGCTAATTGTGTGATACCTGTAATGTCCTCATCATGGACTGTCACCTTCATGGGGTAGAGAGGCTTGCATGTACCAATGACCCTAAGAGCAACACCATCAGGAGTCTTGCACTCCTGGAATGGTAACCCATGGTGGTAAGGTATCAGATGAAGAGCAGTCCAGCATAACGTAATATAAAGACCTCAGTGGTGGAGCAGGTGGATGAAGAAGGCATACTTCTCAATGGCTGAGAAGTCAGATGAAGTCTTCAGTGGGAAAGTAACCCCAGTCATCTTGGATCTCATTGCCACTGGACAAAGGTTTCTCCTCCACACAATGGCCTCCTCACATAAAACAAGTTACACACAGGTTTTTTCCACTGGATCCAACATCTACCACAATAACCAATTACCAATACCCATAACTTCTACAAAGTCCTGCAGTGATAGAAAAAATGGACTCATATATAACCCTTCAATTGACCTATGGTCAATTGAGCATCCTCAACTTTAAGGGATTGCTGCTGCTGCTGCCGACCTGTAATGTGTAGAGGGGTGCCTAAAACTTCTCAACTTGCCTATTATAGACAATTTGCTTATACAACTATTCTGGCAAAAAAAAATTTACCTTGTACTGTACACAGTTATCTTACTTTGACCCTCTGTTTTTTTACCTTGTAACTTATGAAGTTTACATTTGATTTATAATGCAGATTATATCAGTTAGATCTTCTATCTGACTGAAGTCTTAATGACAGTGTAACAATAGTAGATGAGTGACAAAACATTTAAAGTTGGCCTCATTTCCTTTCACATATTTATTGACATCTGCATTAATAAGAATATCTGCCAGAAATAGTGTCATATTCATGCTACAGAAGATTCTGAAATGCCAAACAAAATAAAACCTTAGTTTATACACTCTGTTTCTGTTTCTCATACACACATACACATACACATTTTATAAGCCAGAAAAATAAATTACAAGGAGAGTTTATAATATATTTAGATTAAAAAAAATTAATTTTGCTTCTTTCTAATTCTAGCAGGACATTTCTTTAATAGTTCTAACATTTCATTTTTAAGCAAAGACCAAAGAAGTTATTTTCCTACCCAGTCCTTATGTCATCTGTTGCGTGAATTGCCACAGAGGACAGTAAACATCAGAATATGATTTAATATACTGTACAAATAGAATATGTTTTATGTTTCTATTATTATAAAATACTTTGTATTCTGACTACTAATTGTATAATATTCTCTTTTCCTTTAGGTCAATGGGAAGGACCTCTCCAAGGCTACACATGAAGAGGCAGTGGAAGCTTTTCGCAATGCCAGGGAGCCAATTGTAGTTCAGGTTTTACGGAGAGCACCCATTAATAAAGCACATAGTTGCCCACAGGATGTTCAGCTTGTGGATGCTAGCACCCAGACTGACATCACCTTTGAGCACATTATGGCTCTGGCCAAGCTTAGGCCATCCACACCTCCAGTACCTGATATCTGCCCTTTTTTACTTTCAGACAGGTATGATTTACCTTTTTCTCCCATTTTTCAAGTCAGTGTCAGATACTATCTTTAGTAAAATTAGGTACAGTAAAAGCTCTGTCATCTGGCATCCCCCAGAAATGGGGGATGCCAGTTAATCAAATATGCCAGTTAATCAAATATGCACCATCTGATGCTCTCCCCGGCATCAGTGTGCCAGGGGACAGAAAGGGGGAGACCACGCAGGCTTCTTTGCCCCACGCAGGCTGTTTTGCCCTGGGCCGTGGTCTGAAGAAGTGGCAAAGAAAAACTTAGCTCACAGCGATGAAACGGGAAGTCCCCTGGAAGTGGTACTTCCAGTTTCGTTTTTGCCGCATCCATAGTTTCATAGTTTCTAGGGTCGGAAGGGACCTGAGTAGATCATCTAGTCTGACCCCCTGCCATGGCAAGAAAGAGTACTGGGGTCAAACGACCCCAGCAAGGTGTACATCTAACCTCCTCTTAAAGACCCCCAGGGTAGGAGCCAGCACCACTTC